CAGCTGACTGTCATACATGCACTGTTTATAAGGGGAGGGAGGAGAGACAGAACCATGCACTGTCATTTATCACTAGTTATGATGACACATCATGCATAGCTTGGAGAGGGGGGTGGGGGGGGATGGGAAATGATCATTCACATTCACACATCGCCCTTAGCAACAACACCACCTCATCATGCATGGAGGGGGGGGGGGAGGAGACATGGAAAACAGCTTTCACGAAGACGCACGTGTAGCTACGTTTATAACCCTGGTCGGCCAAAGGACGCGCCGCTCACTGGCCCCACGCAGACGAGTTGTCCTCAAACTGCCACCAGCGACGACGATGATGATGAAGACGGCGATGGCGATCGCAAAGAGAAACAAAAGCATACAGTGTGAGAACGCTAAGCTACAGGGTGACCTGATCTTGTTTCAGCAAGAGTTTTATGGCACTTGCAACACAATAAAGGTCATACAAGAGCCGAAGACTAGAGGTGTGACAAGAGAGTAACGAACACAAAAAAAGGAGGAGGAGAGACCAGGGCGACAGATGTTTGTAGGAGAGAAGGAGCAAACCCCATCAGAGCACCCGCCAGTCACACAGTATTGAGATGATCTCCTCTAGGATGGGTATTAAAGGACTTTACAAAAACAAAACCTCAGACTTTGTGCCAAAACAAGCGGACCCCCATTTTATCAAAATATATTTTTAAAATTCTTCCGACATTTTCGAACAATCCCAGAAACTCAGGGAAAATTTTGAGAACGTCCATCCCTGAGACAAAATGTGAACTCTCAGGGTGCTTGAGGTCAGGATGGTGTCTCAAAGACATTTATTACAATTCACATCTGTACGTTGTGTTTTACTATCGTATTCATACGACGAGGGGAACTCTGTGCCACCACTTTCCAAAGAGGAAATTTACTAGTAAATCTGATTCGGATGCTTTGCATAGCAGTCTGTCATAATGAATTTTTGGGAAATACTGAAAGTTTCAAAGAGATCTTTCTACTAAAAGCATTCTAAAATGTGAAGAATACAACCCTGGGGTACATAATGACCCTAGGGTGTACGGATGGAGTTAAACAAAAAAAAATCTGTTTTAAAATGTAACGCCAAAACTTTCAGTAAATCTACCATCTGCTTCCTGAATTCTTTAAATTCTAATTTTTCAAATCTTCTGCAGTAGTAAGAGAAGTAGGTATTCTTCACACACCCCCCCCCCCCTTTTCCCTCCCATCTTTTGAACATAAAACATATGGAGTAACAGTACTTGTGACCTTTGAAGAAAACTGAGAAATCAATCACTGTGGTAAATTGGAGTAAAGTGTGTAATGAAAGAGAATCTAGGAATACTATACTTTTGTCTACTATGATCAGGCAGAAAGTGAAAGATTGGAGGACGTAAGTATAAACAATGTTAGACAGCCAGTATGGAAAGGCAAATTCTTCAGAAAAGCAATTGGTCGTTTTTAAGCACAAGGGGGCTGTCCCGAAAAATGCTGTTTTGAGAAAATCGAAGGTAAAAGCTTTTGGATCCTTGTTCAGTTTCTTTAATAGACAAGGAGAGTTTTCTCTATAACCAAACAAATAATAATATACACACCAATGAAACCAAACTTTTCCTGTAGGTAGGGCAATGCCCACTTTTGGTGTAAGTCAAGATTTCTGGAAACCCCCGAAATCTGGGTTAGCCCACTTGTCCTTAAAAGCGATCAATTGTACTAAGAATGGAAAACTCTATGAGCATGTCAGTAGCCCTCACTCTGACCTCAGTTTTTTAGTGAAGTTTTAGTAAAAGTTTTATGGCACTTGCTGAACACATAAGTGATAAAAGTGCTGAAGATTAGAGGTGTTACCAGAGAATAACATACAACGAAAAGAAGGAGGAGAGATAAAGACAAAAGATGTTTCACAGGAAAAGGAGGAGATTGACGGGAAAAGGAGGAGAGATAAAGTCAAAAGATGTTTGACAGGAAAAGAAGGAGGAGAGATAAAGTCAAAAAGATGTTTGACAGGAAAAGAAGGAGGAGAGATAAAGTCAAAAAGATGTTTGACAGGAAAAGAAGGAGGAGAGATAAAGTCAAAAAGATGTTTGACAGGAAAAGAAGGAGGAGAGATAAAGTCAAAAAGATGTTTGACAGGAAAAGAAGGAGGAGAGATAAAGTCAAAAAGATGTTTGACAGGAAAAAAAGGAGGAGAGATAAAGTCAAAAAGATGTTTGACAGGAAAAGAAGGAGGAGAGATAAAGTCAAAAAGATGTTTGACAGGAAAAAAAGGAGGAGAGATAAAGTCAAAAAGATGTTTGACAGGAAAAGAAGGAGGAGAGATAAAGTCAAAAAGATGTTTGACAGGAAAAAAAGGAGGAGAGATAAAGTCAAAAAGATGTTTGACAGGAAAAGAAGGAGGAGAGATAAAGTCAAAAAGATGTTTGACAGGAAAAAAAGGAGGAGAGATAAAGTCAAAAGATGTTTGACAGGAAAAAAAGGAGGAGAGAAAAAGACAAAACATTAAAAAAAGGAGCTCCAAAAAGAAGTATGAGCAACAAACCATGGTCAGTACAAACAATACAACAAAGAAAACACTGGTGTGTATCAGGGCATAGGCCACTGGCTGACGGGGGAATCATCCAGAAAATTCCTCAAGAAAAGGACTTTGAATAGGCTGCCTTGAGCAGTAAAATACGCTGCAGGTCTAAATCAGCCCAACATTCTTGTTGCAAATGTTGTGTAGCAAGGAAATTTGTGAATTTTGCACACAGAGCAGTCAGTCCTCCTGGATTACCACTACACAGAATGGTCAGTCCTGAAACAACATGACACTACACAGAGCAGTCAGTCCTGACATGACACTACACAGAATGGTCAGTCCTCCTGACACAACATGACACTACACAGAGCAGTCAGTCCTGACACAACATGACACTACACAGAGCAGTCAGTCCTGAGATGACACGACACAGAGTGGTCAGTCCTGACATGACACTACACAGAACGGTCAGTCCTCCTGACACAACATGACACTACACAGAATGGTCAGTCCTGACACAACATGACACTACACAGAGCAGTCAGTCCTGAGATGACACGACACAGAGTGGTCAGTCCTGACATGACACTACACAGAACGGTCAGTCCTCCTGACACAACATGACACTACACAGAATGGTCAGTCCTGACACACCACGACACAGAGCGGTCAGTCCTGACACGACACTACACAGAAGGTCAGTCCTGACACAACACGACACAGAGCGGTCAGTTTTCCTGACATAACACTACACAGAACGGACAATCCTGACACGACACTACACAGAGCAGTCAGTCCTCCTGACATGACACCACACATAACGGTCAGTCCTGACACAACACAACACAGAGCGGTCAGTCTTCCTGACATAACACTACACAGAACGGACATTCCTGACACGACACTACACAGAGCAGTCAGTCAGTTCTCCTGACACAAAACTGGTCTGACAGAGCGGTAAGCCCCCTCCCCCCCCCCCCACCAGACATGACACTGAGCTGACAAGGAGGAAATGTTCCAGGGGTAACTTGGAACATTTGCACTTCAAGCAAGCTCAAGCTGAGAACTTCCATGTACTGGCCAAGCGAGCAACCAGCTGCTGCAGCCAGCAGATGCCTTTCTGTTTTGTGAACTATTACACAGGGACATCAAAATACATTTTGGAAATACATATACACTATGCGAACTGAAATTTTTTTTAAATCTGCATTGTTACAGAAGAAAATACTTCCTCTTACAAGTAGACAAAGAAGTTTGAATGAAAAAAATACAAGTTATAAGTATGGAGTGGACAACCTAAATAGGTGAAAGCTATCGGAATCAAATGCAACAGGATGAAACTCGTATCTAACTGCTTACACTGGCAGATATTGTTTGTTTTTTTAAATTAACAAAACAAAAAAATGAACAAAAAACCCAGACACGGAACAAAATTTGCAGTGCACAAAGACAGGTGATGTTGTTTTGTTTGCTGTGATTTTTCCCCTGAACACAGGTAAATCTGCACAAGTGAAGTTAGTCAACCTCAAAAAAAAATTATTTTAAAAAAATCATAACCTGAACACTGAGGGGAAAAAAAAGAGTCACCCCTAACTGACGCAACCTCCTAACAACTTCATTGAGGTCAGTGACACGCTGTGCATCAAAGATATAGAAACATCATGTACGTGGCAGGAGCATTTAAGATAAAAAAGCGAATCATCGGCAAAGCTAAATTTTTCCAAGAGAGAAAAATTTTTCATTCATTTAAAAACTGTTACCAACTTTTCTTGCTTTTTTTTCAATATTTAGAACATGAATTTCGCCTAATATTTCTTGAGCATACACAATCAATACCACGGATCAGTTTAAGAAACTGCACGAGTAAAAAGAAAGTCTCAATTTTAGGCTGAGTACTTCTGATTCGCTGGCCGAGGAAACATAAGTGCAAGCAAGATACGGAAAACCCTTGTGGTTTGTACCAGAAACCAAACTACAGGAGTATAGCAGAAAAAATAAAATAAATAAAAAGCACAGATGTTTAGGAAAGGTGACCAGTAGTAGGATTATTAATAGAGCGCACAGAGGATTCCCCTGTACGATGGTCAGCTACAGAAAATACACACAACAGATACACAGACATGAACTGACATAATATGTGACCCAGCATGTTGAAATCAGGCGCTCTTCAAAATCATGAAATCAGGGAAACCCTCATTTTTCTGATATTGGGCAATTTTTTTTCGATTTTCTTTTTTGGCTCTCCACCTTTTATATCAATTTAAAAGCACCTTTATGAGTGGATTTCACTGAAAAATTTTGATCAAAAGCACCAAAAAAAATGTAAATTCCAGTTTTCAAGGACACTCAAGCTTGGAAGTCACCAAACTTTGGTGGTCATTTTCTCACTAATTTTACCTCTGACATCAGGTGACCCCCACCTCCTTAAATCGAAATTATCTCGACTTCTATTCAGAATACATGGGTATTTTTGTGCAAAATGCAAGACAAATGAACAGTCTTTAAGATGATACTAATAACTCCATACGCCCAAAAATTGGTGAGCTCCTGATTCCACCATATCGTGACACATATATGTGCCATGACAGGATGGAATCAGGCGTTCGTCAATTTTTGGGCATATGGAGATATTGGTATCATCTTAAGGCATGTTCATTTGTCTTACTTTAGATGAAAAAAATACCAATGTACCTGGAATAGTAGTCCAGATAAATACCATTGAAAAAGGTGGAGGTCACCTGGTGTCAGGTTAAGTTAGCCAGAAAATGGCCGCCAAAGTTTAGTGACTTATAAAGCTTGAGTCCTTGAAATCTACAAATCTACATTTAATGTTCTTTGTGCATTTAATCAACACTTTTCAGTAAAACCACACAGAAATGTGTTTTTCAATGGACATTAAAGGTACCGAGCCAAGAACAAAAAATCGATAAAAATGGCCAAACTGGCAAAAAAATGCAGGTTTCTTCGATTCCTATTATTTTGACGAGCACCTGATTTCACCATGATGCCTCACATATAGAGACATTCAGACACGTACTTTTACTTTCAAGAGAGTTATACCTCTACTTTCCTTTCAAAAAGAAGTACACGTTATGACTCTGGTATTCAATAAATAAAAAACACTCCGCAAAAAAAGCAGTAGAAGACTTCTTACCTTTCCCGGACTAAAATCAGCAAAATTGGCAAAAGGATCGGCTGCATTGTTGCCAGTGTTGGTCGTGGCCCCTGACCCTGCAAAAGGATCGTTGCCCCCGAAAGGATCCGAGCCAAAGCCTCCGAATGGATCAACTTTTGGTTTTGATGCTGGTGCCGGCGATGATGATGATGTGAAAGGCGTTGGGCTTTTTGATTTGGGAGGGGCGGGCCGAGGGGGTGGAGCTTTTTTCTGTTTGGCAGGTAGGCTGGGCTTGCTAGGGCTTCCAAAGGGATCTGCACCAGAACTTGAGGATATCTGCTGGATTGGGAGGAGACAGGAAGAACAAAATACACCACGTGAAACTTCGAATCAAAGAAGAGAAGCAAAATGGCTACATTGAAAAAAAAAACCCCCACAAGGGTGAGAATATGCATCACGACAAATTTACACCAAAACCCAGTGTATACACAGTGCAAGAAAACATCACTGGAAAAAAACAATGGCCTCTTTTCACAAAGTTGAGAAAGATCCTGGAAAGAAATTTTTTACCAGAAGGAACCAACTGTACAGGTAAAACAAACTATGTCATCTTCTTTAAATTACTTTACAAAATATTATAACACCATAAGGAAAGCACAAACGAGTAGAATGAAGCAATTATTCAAACAATTGTGGACAGGTGGGGAGATCATGTTCACACAAGTCACACAGTCGACTGATTGAGTACCTGGCCACTTAGAGGACACGAAACCAGACGTCACACACCAAGCAGCCATCAGCCAGCTTGCTGTTAAAGTTAAGTCATCTTTACGAACTCTATACTTAACTTACCGGTATTATTTTCAACATTTTGATTAAATGTATTTACAGATCTCGTGACACATGTAAAGGAGTATGCGCGCAGAAATGTTCATAAAATGGCTAACACTGTGTCAAAGTGACACGGGAAGAAGTTTATATATTTATCTATCCCTTCCGGGTAAAAATAAACCTAACTGGATTCGTATGAGACTGCATTCACAGTAATACTTCATGCACTTCGAGGTCTGACTGGACGCTGGGACCGCTCCTCCCGGGACTGGGCAAATTTCATGGTACTCCCATCGTCGAGTCCGGGTAATTGAGTTAAACTGGCAAAGTTATGGCTCATTTCTCCTACTTTTGGTTTTAGTAGAGCTTTTACAGCACTGTTTTTACTGCATAAGGCCATATGAGTGCCAAGGGGTGGACGTCAACAGAGAAGTCCATACAGGGAAACAGGCTTTCTCTGCTCACCTCCCTAGCTTGAACAGTACAAAGTCTTCTTCAACTATCAAGGCAGCCCGGAAATAGCGGGTCACAAGAGTGAAACAAACATAGAAAAGAAGTAGAGGAAAAATGACGACAGTAAGGATTAGGAAAGAAAAAGCAGCAGTTCTCTGATGCAGTTCAGACACAGTTATGAGCATGACATCGATGAATAAGCCCATTTACAATTCTACAGTGCATAAGAAAACGTTAATGTCCCCCCTTTGGGAAGGCATTTCTCCTAGAACTAACACAAACAGAAATGCTGAATAAAAGTAGATGGTGAAGACTACAACAGAGACCCTTGCAGTAATAAGTTCAGTCAAGTGTTTCAACCTGAAAACCTCACCCACTGCCCTAAAAAAAAACATAACGCCAAAAGGTATTTCCTCTCCCTTAATGGGGCTAGTAAGATTTGAAAAGGGTCCCAGTGGTTGACTGATTACAGAACACAGCACACAAAAGATGGTACGGACCTGATGCGTCAAGCAGAGATGAACAGTGAGGTTTTCTTTTTTGTCATTTAAAAAAAAATCAGTTTGGTGAGTGGCCCCTGCAGTGTGTCCTTAAGCCAAAAAGGTTGACCCAGGCACAGACGAGAGGAGGGAATATAAAATTCATGGTAGAGTATGAATGCAGCAGCAATATCCTGCCCCTGTGTCATGGCAAAACAAGCAAGAGTAGAGTAAGGCTTGTCTCCTCCCCCCCCCCCCCCCCACCCCGTACCTCCCTCATTTTGAACTGTTTGATTCAGAGAACAAAATCTGAGGTCAGGACGGGGATCACAGCTACGACTTACAGAACCTGGAGGAAGAGGGCTGCGGCCGCCATGACGCAAGAAGACACAGAGGGTTCATATATATATGAGGAGGTGAGAAGCAAAACCCGCTAAGTGACATTTTGGAGAAAAAAATCTAGATTTTTTTGCTTAAAAAATGCACTGTTACTGGCTATCAGACGCACAAAGTGTTTTCGGCAAAAACCCAACTCACACTTCATAAAAGCCGCCAAAAAAATCTTCTTTTTACTCATCTTCGTGCAAAGAGCAGCATTAAAAAAAAGCTGATTTTCTCAAAAGCGCTAAAATGGACGTAGCGGGTTCTCCATCTCAACCTTTCATACGTGTCACGACGCGGAGGAGTAAAGCGCTCGTCAGTTTGGGGCATGTGGAGTTTTGCTATCATCTGAAAGCTTAGTCATTCGCTTTGCTTTCCATGAAAAAACACAAAACCGATCCATCTTGAATAAGAGTTGAGATATTGGCGTTTGAAGGTGGTGGGTTCGCCTGGTTCCAGATGTAAAATTAAGGAGAAAATGGCTGCCAAAGTTTGGTAACTTCAATAGCTTGAGAGTCCTTCAACTGAAAATTTACATATTTCGTGCCTTTAACCAACATTTTTTCAGTAAAATGCACATGGAAATGAGTTTTAATACAAACGTAGAAGGTGTTGGGCCAAAAAACTAAAAAGCGATAAAAATTGCCAAACTTGCGGAAAAATGTCCATTTCTTCGATTTCATTCCTTGCAGAACGCCGAATTTCACCATGATGCCTCGTATATGGCTTTCACCACAAAAAGTATAATACATGACACTGAAAACTGAATTTCACAACAGGGATAAATACAGACCTCTTTTCTTTCATTTCGTTCTAACCTACCTTTTGACTAGACTTAGAGGAACTTTGAGTGGTTGGCCATGCAGAGCCAAATGCATCGAAACCGTCACTGGACGCTTGACCAGAAGAGCTCCCAAAGGGGTCAAGGTTGCCGAAAGGGTCCGACTGACCAGTCACAAATTTGAAAGAAAATACATCGAAGACGACATACTAAAAACAAAAGCCAAATCCAACCAAACAAAAAGAAAATTCATGCGACATAAAAAATTTGTATGAAAAAGATTGATTATGTCAACTACTGCTAGTGAGAATGATCTACAAAGCATAATCATCACACAAATACATTGTTTCTGCAACCAGTGAAACAACAAAGTCGTCAACTAGGAAAATCCAAAGTAAAAATACAGTCACCAAAAAATGATCTACATCTATTTTTAAACCTCATTCAATACTTTAAAAAAGTGTGTTTCTCATGATAAAGAAAACATTAACAAACTGTCTTTAACCCTATCCGTACATCATGTTTTACTATCGTATCCATACGACATGGGGAACTCTGTGCCACCACTTTCCAAAGAGAAAATTTACTCTTCAATCTGATCCCTACGCTTTGCACCGCAGTCTGTCAAAATGATTTTTTGAGAAATACTGAAAGTTTCAAAGAGACCTTCGTACTAGAAGTATTCTAAAATGTGAAGAATACAATCCCCGGGGTACAAAATGACCCCAGGGTGTACGGATAGGGTCAAAAATCTCTTCAATTGAGGAAGTTAAAAAATCTTAAAATCACTTTCATTGTAATTTGAAACAGTAAATAGCACCAACATCTACCAATGACCTAAGACGTCGGAATGTTTGCAAACCTAGGCATCTCTGCTGTGATTTTAAAGATTACACAACAGGAACAAACATGCTTAATTTGACAAATATGTCACAACGCAGTGGAATCAGGAGCTCGTCAATTTTTGGGCATATAGAGTTTTTAATAAGATCTTAAAGCTTACTCATTTGTCTTGCATTTGGCGAAAAAAATACCCATCTATCTTGAATAAAAGTCGAGATATCTGCCATTGAAGGAGGGGGGGGGGGGGGGGGGGGGGGCGGCTGACATGAAAGGTAAAATTAGTGAGAAAATGGTTGCCATATTTGGGTGACTTCCAAAGCTTGAGTGTCCTTAGAAACAGGATATTGAATTCTTTTTGCGCCTTTAACTCTTTATCTCCGGCATGCCGCGGAGTCACTGACAGCGGCTAGGGCACATTCCTTTACGACAACTTTGACATCAAATTACTTTGCGGAAATTTTCGGAAACAGATCTCCTTAATCGTGATTTCATTCATTAGATGCAGAACTATCGTAAGAGGTTCACTTGTTTTGATTTAATCTCCAATTTAGTGACGATTTTGTAATTTTTAGATTTAGTACCAAAAACGGGCCCCAGCATTGTGGGTTTACCCCCCTTGGAGATAAAAGAGTTAATGAACGTTTTTCAGTATCATTCACACACAAATATGTTTTGAAAAGGACATAAAAGGTGTTGAGGAAAAAAAAAAATCAAAATAAATTGCCCAACGCTCAGAAAAATGCCGGTTTCTTTGATTTCACTGTTTTGACGAGTGCCTGATTTCACCACGCTGCCTCACATATGAAATTGGGATTCCAGTTCCTCTCATTCTCCAACACTACAAGTGAATAAAAAAGATACGATACTCACAAGTTTTGAAAATAATTATATGAAAATGTAAAACATTCCTCAAATCTGATTCACAGACTAACCCTACTAGTATCTGTCAATTTTTTTTAAAAACCTAATGAAAAAGGAATGAAACAGAGGAACTATTCAAATGAGTCCAAATGAAATCACATCCTAACAGGAAGACGAGTTTACACGAGACGGCTCCCCACCTTGTTTGTGGAACTGGAATTGCCAAATGCGTCTTTGAAAGGATCCTCGGACCCAAATGGGTCGGCAGACTTGAAGGGATCACCTGCGAGTGAGAGAAAAGTCAGGCATAAATTATAATAAACCTTTCAACATAACGCTGAACATACTCTACAACAGTCGAACCTGCTGGAACAGCCACCTGATTGTGACGATCACCAGTACAAATGACCCAATTCTTACTCTCCCCCCCTTACATCTTTGTATATTATAACGACACTGTCCAAGACGTCCACCTCTGTAAGACAACCGCTTTTTTCCTTTACAGTGGGTGGCCATCTTGGACACTGCTGACTGTACTACCACCCTAAGAACAAGGACAAATCAATAAGCTCTACAGCTTAAGATACATTTATATATAAACAAACGTGATGTGAGTATTCACTTGTGCATGATAGATTCTAATAATAATAATAACCATCATCATCATCAACATTATCATCATTGTAAATAGCAAGGAATAAAAAAGGGTTGAGAGTTGTAGAATTTTCAAATTTTATACAGGTTTAACGTTTCGCCCGGTAAAGGGCTTCATCAAGAAGGTGATAAAAAAAAATAAAGATTAATAAAGATTATCATCATCATAATAATAAGGAAACCAGCATTGCTTTCAACCCTATCAAAATTTTGAGAATTATTTCTTGGGGGAAAAAAACAAAAAATGGCAAGCAAACAAACACATCTAAACACCATCGGCCAGCACAATGCTGCACCAACGACTCACTGTCTCGGAATGGATCGTCGTTTTGGAATGGATCGTCCTGGCCGGCAGAGACCACAGCAGCCCCGGCAAAGGGGTCAGCACCTTTGAACGGATCTTCTTTGAAGTCGTCCACGTTGGAGCCCAAACCGAAGCTGCCCACAGTACTCATGGGGCTGGCAAACTGAGGACGGAATAAGTAGGCCTATGGGTTTGAGGACAGATTAAGTGCATGAGTTTGAGAAGGGTTTTTTTCCTTATCCAGTCCAGCTTTTTATAAAAAAGTTAGTAAAGGAAATAGAATTATGTGTGCTCTAAAACTAACCCATTTGAAAGCAGTTTACTGCATGTTGGATGAAACGCCCCCCCCCCCCCCCACCCCCCAAAAAATAAAAAAATAAATAAAATAAAATAAACAGGTGACCATGGCATCTGATTCATTAAGTGAAGCAAGTATGTGCTAAACAAGGAACTCAGCTGGTTCCCTTTTGGGTAGACAGTGAAGATTGTTCAGAGTCTGATGTCAATCATATAGCAATCTTGTTGAACACAAAAACAGCGACGCCAAACAACCAAAAGCCAGTAGCAATGAAATGAATAGTTCTAGACCTTTTTTTTTTTCTGCAATAGAGGGTACTTGTCCGTGATAGGGAGCAAAGAGGACAAAGTTGGCGATGCTAGACACGATAAAAGTGTATCCCACAAACGTGAAAGTATCCCACAAACATGAAAGTACGGACATACCGTAGCCTTGTTGCTGACAGCTTCAACGCTGGAGTCACCGTTACTGAAGGGGGTCATGGTCGGATCGATGCTACGGTACTGCTCCTGTAGCTGCTCCAACTTTTTCCTGGTCTGTAGAACAAAGAACTACCAATGATTTAAGTCCATAAAAAATTTTTTAAAAACAGTTAAAATATGGTGACAAGGTTCAGTCTACACAGGAATCTGCCTCTCTCAAGCCTTGAACCCACTTTTTCTGTGTGCAAAGGTGAAGAGGTTAATCACTACACCACAGACATAGATAACTACTGAGTCAATGATGATGATGAGCTTCTGACAGACGGTCTTAAGGCAGTAGGCGTGACACAGCTTTACCTCGGTGGTAGACATAGAGGAAGTAAATTGCCCAAGTACCGTTTCCCCTCCTTCAGATCTTGACCTCCTTGATATGCTCCAAAAAAGGAGATATGTGAGGTGTGCTGACAAATGAGTTACTTCTCGGATTTTAGCCTTTTAGGGAGAGTGAGAGAGACGGGTCAGACACCCCAACTGAATAAAGTTAGAACATTTCCAACAGTTTGTGCACTTATAAAGTTTTATTTTTCTAAAAATACATTCATTTCTGTTTCTAACTGTTATTTTTTCAGGATTTAAAAAATTTGTTTAGTATTTGTAAAATGCGTTTTTTAAATGTTTGTATTCACGGGAGGAAGAGGGTTCCTTCCCGTTTCTTAGGATTAGGGAATAGACTCATGGTGTAATGTGTTAATTGGTGGGTTTGATACGGCTGGTGTAAAGGACGTATTACTATTCTACAGACGTAGCTGACAACACGAGCGTGGGCAAAAAGCGGGCGACGGGTCTGCTCACCGTGTTGATTTCTTGACTGATGCCCGCCTGCGACTTTGCCAGCTGCTCCAGCTGCTGCTTGCTGCTGTCCGCCGTCTGCTCCAGTTTCGATTCCTCGTCCCGCAGACCGGTCAACTCCCGCCGCAGCTTCTCCAGCTCCTGCTCTTGATCCTGAGCCGCACGGCAGAGGGCAGAGTTCAAGGTCAGTGGATTTTCGTTTTAGTAAGAGTTGTACGGCACTTGCAACACAATAAGGTCATACAAGTGCCGAAGAATAGATGTGCTACAAGAGAGGAACATACACAAAAAAGAAGGAGGAGAGATAAGGACGATAGATGTTTGATAGGAAAGAAGGAGCAAACCACACCAGAGTACCTGCCAACCACCCACGGTCAGTGGATGAGACACAACAGGGCGTGACGGGCATGGTGATCCTGATCGAGTAAAATGAAAGGAAGCGGACACGATGCAAGATCAGCCTATGATAAGCCAGGACATTGTCGTCACTGTTGTAAGAAAAAAATGAGCGACTACACATTTTATTTTTATTTTTCTCACCTTGTAAGGCATGATCATCTGGAGTTACTCATTTTTTAAAAGACAAAGACATTACACTCAAGGTCAACGAAGAACGTGGCATGAAGTAAAGTTCAGGGTAAGAGAATGAAATGTTTAAGGTCAGCCCATGACATGGCAGAACATTATGTTCAAGGTCAGAAAAAGACACAAATCATAGAAATTTAAGCAATTCAAAGCGTGCCGTATTGACGTATCTGGAACGTCATGGAATTGCACAATTTTTCGTATCTTTGACCTATCAGGGAATGCCAACATTTTGTATCTAAAGGATTAAAGATCAAGTAGTGGGTAACAAAGGAGGATAAATTTGAAAAAAAAAAAAGCTTACTTAGAGCCATACATAGACCAGGAACCCTGAAAATCTGCTTTAAGCCCACAATCAATTTACAAAATTTAACTCAGAACGGAAGTAGAATGCGTGTTACAAGGTCATAGGAGCACATGCATGTGCATCGCGAAAACAACGTTCCCAAACATGGACACTTTTCGCATTACAAGTAAAGGAAAAAGGGTTAAAAACTTAATTCCGCAGTTCTTAATTAACCATAAAGGGCCCTTTTCTGATGGACACAATGACAACTATGAGACAGGACCCACTCAGAGTGTGTCGTGCAATGGTCACAGCTGCACTGCAAGCTCTCTGGTCTACAAACTAAACGCTGAAGTTATCACATTCCAAAGAAAAAATCATCCGTAAAAAAAAAAACTGCAAGAAAAACCCATACCCCTAGCCTGCCAGGGCCAGAACTGGGACAACAAAACTGGCATCTCCGCTGTCTAAGGAAAAACGGTGCCAGTAACCTCCATAATAAAATAGATTATAAATTAAGATTTTTCCAGGCATGGGAATTGAAACCCATCAAAAACAAAACTATTTAAAAGTACGGTTGCTGTGACCAGAAATGATGAGCTGGATGATATTCACACTCTTGGCAAAGTTTAAATTTAACAGCAATAATTCGTCCTGACATAAGCCAATTTAGTTAACAATTAACAAAAAACAAGAAAGAGTCTTATGGTACGGTACAGCTAAACACTTAACAATAAATCATTGTTACTTTTTTTAACGAATACATTTCAGCACGTAACATGCGAGTGTGTCAAACACACACTACAAAGTTTGCTATAAAGACATTGCATAAATTGTAGCCAGAACTATTACTGCACAGAAGATGGATGAGAGAAAAGTACTAGGCATACAAAAAAAGAATTTAGGCAAAGAATTATTAATGTAAAAAATAGATGTCCATAATAATTTTTAAGCAAGAAGAGGCGAATAAATGATATACTGCTGAAGTTGAATAAATCAATAGCAGACCTATTGAGGATGTGCGACAAGTCAATAACAAAGTAACAAAGTCCCCGTCTTCATTGTATAGTGTTCTATTCTCACTAAGTAATATGTTTTTGTCCGTGAGGAAAACAGAAGCGCGAGTCAGAACAAAAGTGACAAAGGACACCGCTCCACAGGAAGACATCACACCACAGATGTCACAGACTCCACCAAACACTACAGAAATGTCTTGGGACATTTTGTTGTTGAGGACAGGCACCACACTATACACTTACGATTTTAACAGGCAATAAAATCATCAGTTCAGGTTTTCCAAATAAATTTGTGTCATGACGTGGTGGAATCAGGCACTCGACAGTTTTTGGGCACGTGGAGATATTGCTATAATCTTAAAGGTGGTTCATTTGTCTATCTGTTGGTGAAAAAAATACTCGTCCGTCTTTGATAGAAGTCGAGATATTAGTGATTGAAGGAGGTAGGGGTCACCTGGTTTCAGAGGTAAAACTAGCGAGAAAATGGCAGCCAAAATTTGGTGACTTCCAAAGCTTTAGATTTCTTGGAGACAACAGATTTAGTTTTGTGCCCTTCTTCAATGTTTTTCAGTAAAATTCACACATAAATGGGTTTTTAAATGGACATAAAAAGTGTTGAGCCCGAAAAACTAAAATTCAATCAAAATTACAAATGGGAAGAAAAATGCCAGTTTCTCTGATTTCATTATTTTGACGAGTGCCTGATTTCACACGATGCCTCACAAATGCTCTTGGTCTACCTCTGCCTAGTTTGCCATCGATTTTTCTCTCTTTCCTGCTATAATCCCAAAAACAGCAATGAACAATCACTTATTTTTACAGACATATATAAACCCACAAACAAGTATGAATCAGTCTCTCTTCACCGCCACATGCTAGGCAATCCCTGTACCAGGACAGAGACAATCCATCTATAAAGTCAAGCAGTTTAGAGCAGAACAAGCTATTGGGTTCTCTACATCACAATTTAGCAACCAGCAGCATCTAAACAGTTTCCTCAGGCTTTTACAAGGCATTCCAAGTCCACTGTGATATCCTACACCACGATGCACAAGCTCACAGGACAGCATGCAGAAAACAGAGGATAGTAGTTGCCATTCCGAGGCAGTAAGTGAACAGTCATTTACTAAAAATTAAAAAAACAAAAGCCCTCTTTGGAAAGTATAGCCAGAAAACATACAAGTTAATATCGTCTTTTTATCAGATCCATTTGCAAAATATCTAATCAAATGTAGCTCCATGCAAGATTCCTTCATTACGGAAACTAAACTCTTACATCACGTAGAACTCAAGTGTTCATTGAGTTTTACTGTCACTCCGACTGTGGGCACCAATACAGGGTTCCAGTCCACAGAACTCAAATTCATATTTTTCCAACCTGCATTCCATCTTGACACTTTCAGAAATCTCTCCTGTCCCATTTTTTTTCCTTCATTTTTGTCACTTTTCTACATTTTCTTTTCTACATTTTCTTTTCAACCTCTTACTTCTACAAATCTTTTTCTAACCTTTTATGTTTGTTCTTCACCTTTTATCAAGAGCCTAACTGAACCCCAGTAGCAGAAACCTTCACCATGTTGAGAAGATTCGAGAGATATTAGACAGGTTCTTTTAACTCACTTGAACTTATTCCCGTGTATTTACAGGATGCATCTCTGGCCCTGTGGCCTAATCTCGTGTATTAACCAACCGGATACGCTTTATCGATCGATATCTCCGATAATTTTCGGTTATAACCTGCGGAAAGTGGCGAGCCAACAGTTGACCCACTTGTTTTATTTTATTTAAAATTTGGTGAAGTTATGTGCGATACTTTTTGAGCTGTAACGAACTAAGTCAGTCACTCAGACATTGCCATTTCAAAATATTGATAAAGCAAAAACTATTTGGACAAATTAGATGTAGTTTTCTTATTCTGTGAGAGCATTTCTTTATTTCTTTTGTGTATTTTTTAAAAAATGATGACAGCTTGAAGTCTTTATAATAGCTTAGGCTCAGGTAAGTTAAAGCACAGTCCCCCCCCCCCCCACCCCCCCTTAACCACACACCTCCAGGTGGTAAGGTCCTTCCCTCAAAGAGGCAGGGTTACAATAACGAGTAAATGACTCAAGGGTAAAAGTGGAAAAATGAAATATTGGTTAGTAAGTCCAAAAGTTATAAAGACAAAAAACAACAAGTGAACAAGGTAGAAGGAAAAAGAGGCTTAAAAACCCTGCAGTGAACCACAAGAAGACAACGCACAACATTGGGTTCCCAGCAAATACTGTCACCACCACCAATTGTCGATTTTGAAAAATGAAAAAGAAAAGAGATAATGCTTATACTGATGAAAATGATTCAATAACAAAGATAAGAAAAGAAGCAATAATAATGATAGCAACGTATTTTCTTTAGTAATGAAGCTAGTGACGGTAAAGATTATAACATGAGAAAATCAAATGGTATTGGCTACAAGTGTCTTAATCGGACATCTCCTTCTCAAATCCTTCTCTGCACTACCTAAAGCACAGTCACTAGCAGTTGACCGTCACATCATCATGAAAAGTGAGCACCTTACCTTGCTTTAGTGTGGATCTCCTCCCC